GGGAACTTTGTCGAATAAACAAACGAAGTTTGCCAAAAAAATAGTTTTACTAGTTTAAGGCCGGGTACTTTTCATTTGAATGTGTGTTCGGCTGCTATTTGTTTACAACGCGAAAGGTTTGACTTTCGAATTTCGCTATGAAAAAGCAAATATTGAAACATTTTGTTGAAATTTTTTGTTCGTAGTAACACAAAGCAATCAGTGAAGGCCACTAAGTCTGCGAAAATATGCCGAATGCGAGTCCTACACCTCTGTTATTGGCATAAAGTCGAAACTGTCAAGAAACTGTGTTTGAAAATCGTTGTATTTGCATCAGAGAGATTGYAGAGGATCTCGACATTTGTCCTTGGATCGATTCAAGACATTTCGTTTAGTATTCTGGATATAAAGCGCTTCACTACTAGACTCGTAAAAAATTAAAGTTACTCATAATTTTTAAAAATTATTTTATTTTTTATTAATATGTCGGGTAGCTGCTCGAACTCAACATTTCTGCTACTATGAGCATCATTACAGGTACAAAAATCTTTTCAACAAAACTTTTAACTGAATTTTACAAAATTAAACACTACTTAGGCACTATGAACCATAAATAAGTCACTAGAACCATAAATAAGACACTATGAACCATAAATTATTAGCACGAACTTCACTTTCCACCATTTCAAACGTYGCTTACTTTATTCAGCCCTCAAAAATATGGATAAGCGCGATAGCCATTGAAACCGCCATAGTAGCCATAGGGACCTGCATAGCGACGATAGGAGTAAGGCGAACCATAATAGATTGGCGTCGAACGCACAACTGGTACTCCAACYCCAAAACCGAAGCCAACGCCAACTCCACCAACTCCACCGACTCCAATAATGKGCGACGAGTGCGCGTGCTGGAGCACCAAGGCGAAACACACAAGGATAGCCRAAAGAAACTTCATTTCACTGCTTAGAACTCTGCTAAATGTCGCTTGTTGGACTCACTTTCGACTGCGTTGGAGACGCGTTTATGATTGCGAAGAATATGGGCAAAGCTATTTATACAAACCGTTTCAGATGTTATTGWGAATCACATTCATTTRTCCTATGTTGATCTAGAAACTGGACTTAAGTGAAATGCAAATAAACGCCAAAACGAATTCAAGAGAACTGATAACTGAGAAGGGAGATGAGAAAGGGGGAAGAGGGAAGAGGTAAGAGGGAATATTTGGCAAAAATCTTTGTTTGCATTATTGATTTTTATTAATTTACATACTAAGATGTGTGCCAATGTATGTAGGTCTAGACATAGAGGGTGTTTAATCGGCGTGAATGGATTAGAATGATAAAAATAAATCAAAATAAATACCCATCTCATAAGATATAGTGTGGTTAAGAAAGACATAGGAAGAGCAAAGTTCATGTATACCCAAACGTTTTGGTTATATCGTGGTGAATTTTATAATAATTTTTTTTTTTGTGAAAAATTAATTGTCTAACAACTTTTACACGGCCTCCTTAACTAATTTATCAGGTAATAAAGAGCTTGTGAGCCGAGAGTATACTCTTGTAGGACCCGAMGTGGTGATCTACAGAGAATACTTCTCCTAGCTGCTGAACGACAATTGTAAAATCTASAAATGGTGAACCCGATTCCTCAATCGATGACAATGATCAATTCAGTATCCGACGGTGGGGTTAGAGAAAAAGGAAGACCTCCATAGCGTTGGAGAAATTAGGAGGAGAAAGACCCTGCTGCAAAATTTCGACAGGTCCTTCGCTCATTACCTATATTCGTTTATAGTAATGTTTTTATTTTTTTAAATTAGGATTTGAGAAAATTTTAAGCTATTTAAAATGTTTCCACTCCCTTTTGGAGATCGGCTAAGTGATTTGGCTAAGAAATCATAAATATTGACCGGTATGTGCGGTATAAAAAGCTTTGAAATCGCTATATTGTGTTTATGAAGGCTTGGCTAATTTTTTATCTGATTTTAATCACCATCATCAAATGCAATATAAAGGCGATTTTTATTTATACTATAGGATTGAAGCAAACAAATATACTCGTACTATACTATACGCGCTCTCTCGGCTTGCTTCTCATAGAGACAGAGACAAGATTAACATTAGCTTAGAGTAGATCCACTTCATTGATGCCGAGTGGCAGAGTAACACGAAGCCTTCGTTCGAAAAAGATTAAAAACGCGTCACTATTGCTAACAGAGCAGCTTTAGATCTATCGTCCTGGAGTGATCAAATATTTTAACTAGCGAGCCACGAGCCAACACACATTTTTACTGACATTCTCAGAAGGAAAACCACGACAAGTAAAAATTATAGGTTATCTCTTTCAAATGATCCGGCTACGTCTCAGAGGTTTCAACAGATGGACAAATTTTCTATGACTCGTTAGAGCATTCCGACTGGTAACCGAATGACACGCGTGATATTTTGCTCCAAGACCTTAATCATAGCGGGCTTGTCAGCATAGAATTTCGACTTTACATATCCCCACAAAAAAGTCCAACGGTGTGATATCACACGATCTTGGTGGTCAATCCCAACCATCCCAATACATGGAATTATCTGCTCACCGAAGAGTTCTCTCAATAAATCCATTGATTGACGCGATGTGTGAGAAGTGGCGCCGTCTTGGGGAAACCAAATGTCGCTGAGATCACGAGTCTCAATTTCAGGCATCAAACGGTTACTTTCTCACCGACATCGACATATAACGGTAAACAAACCTGCTGAGATGATCGAAAAATTCGCTAACATTTGCTGCAGAACAGAAATAATATTTGCAGCAAATGTTCCGAATTCAACTAGATCTTTATATAAACACCCTATTATATACATTTATGTTCAACAGTTTTGAGTTATTGATTTCCAATGAATGTGTCATATTCGTACATATATTGAATATGATTGGCAGATTTCGGCCGTCGAAGTGCTTCCCCTAAACGAAATTACTGAGCTTGAGCAAATGTTTACGCACTAATGTTTGCTTACATACATATTTCGTATACGTTAGCGCTGACAAAGAAAATATTATTCGAGAACTGAGATTTATTTGCTCATAAATWCATTTAATTCATTAGTACACTCATGAGCTTGCCTACGTCACTTAATCAAGAAAATATAAATATTTGAGCATGAAAACTGTTTAGTAATAGTTTTTATTTGTCATTAATCATTATTTAATTGATTTAGATGAGGGGTTTCCCATRCGCTCTCAATAAGTCAATGACTATGGCTTTTGATGACACTARTAATTAATTCACAGTGAAGTGTTTGAGTTTCACATGCCATTATTTTCGGAAAAACTGTTGAAGATTTTGAAGGCAAAAATTTTGCAAAATCATGCTACTTTGAAAAACAATAAATACTTCGTGGCAAGTGAAGTCCCACTATTTACTATAAAATCGCAAAYAAATCGTTACAASTTTTCAACAATTTTATTGTTGTATTTTTGTTTTTTTTTAGTAAATAAATAGAAAACAAATAACAGCTATGCGTATGCATTTGAGCAATAATATCACACTTTACACGCCACTCGCCTCACGGCGCTACTTGCACGTCCACCTGCAGCTGCTTGTAGTCGCTGTCACTTASGAAATGCCACTCGTAGCCGAGCATTTGCGACACTTCACGTTCCACCGCCTCATAGGAACGTGACGTGTGCCGCAACCATAAATAGAACTCATCGGACCATTCGGGATGTCGCGGCCAATCGCAGCGTATGATGACCGCAAAGCGACGTACGTGAAGACGACGCAGATTCTTTGCGGTACGCGCGATCAGTAGCACTGTGGAGGTGGAAACTTTCTCGCGTACGAACTGTGGAGTAGAAAGGCATATGTATGTTGGAGTATTTATTGTGGTACCGTTAAGTGCTAAGTATAGCGTATGAAACTTACTAAGGTGTGCAGATTGAAGCATTGTCGGGCGATTAGCAGCATCAGGCTGTCGACACGATTGTGAAATGGCTTSGGGCTGGTAAAACGTGGCAACATCTCATAGCCATAAACGCTGAGCTTATTTTTATAATGATCCACCATGCGTAGCACAAAATCTGTTTTGATCTGAAAGAAATATATATAATTTTTAATATGAAAAACAGATACTAAAGTTAGGTTAAATTGCTGGGTAATTAATTAAATTCAATTGTACATTTTTTACTAACAAGTCATTTAAAAAGTCAATTGAAAAGCCCGCGACCCACATAGCAAACCAAATTTTTTTTGGCAAATTTCGTTTTTCTAATTAAACAAAGATCTCTTCAAGACCCTTAAACCTCTCGATACCATTTTTGCAGTACGATTTGTCATTTGCTTCAAAAAAGGTCCTAGCTTTGGGAATCCACCTCTGCATTCGACGAAAAATTCTTCTCAGTGAGCATTCTATTGAGATCTGAGTACAGGAAATAGTCGCTGGAACCCGGATTTGGGGAATACAGTGGAAGTGGACAATGCATTGATTTTTGCCATAGTTTTCACTGGCTTCTGGCACGGTGCATTGTCTTGTCCAAACCACGTTTTCTTCTTCTTCATATGCGACCGGTTTTCGGCTATTTCATCCTTTACTCGGTTCAAAAATGCTTTTTAATTGTCACGGTAGAGACGCCAAACTTTGTCAGTGGAGGCTTGCATTTTTCCGCGGTTTAGATCGTGTGCAGTCCACTCGGATGACTATTGATTGGGTTTTGGACTGAAATGATGGAGCCAAGTTTTTTTTTCTGTCATATATCGACGCAAAAAGTCGGGTATTTTATGCTTGAGTATCTCCAATCATTACTCCGAATTATCAACTTGTCGTTGTTTTTGGTCAAAAGTGAGCTCGTGCTGAACTTACTTTGCACAGAGCTTTCTCATACGCAAATATTCGTGAATGGTATGGTATACAGATTCACTTGATATCTTTAGAGTGCCTGATATCTCGAACAACTCAACTTTACGGTCGTCCAAAACTATTTTGTAGACGTTTTTTTGATAATTTTGATCGTAACAACCACTTTCGGGCAAATGACAATGCACCGTCTTCGGTTCTTATTTCAGCACGTCTAAACTTAGCAACAGTGATATTTTTCATCCTCAGTTCGTTGCAAATTGTGCATTTTCTATGGATAGCTGGAGTCTAAGGTAGACTCTTTAGAAAAATTCAGTAACTTGCGTTGAACTTATTATACCTCAACTTTCCTTAAAGTAACGCCAATACCCAGATCCACTAACCTTTGATTTTGGCGATTCGTAAGTGACGCTGCACACAGGCGCTTCCGGCTGGAACACAACTTCGCCATCGCCCATTGATTCTACGCGCAGATGCACCTTTAGCCGCGGATTATCACGTTTCAACTGTCGCCACGCCTTCACGCTACATGGCGAAATCGAGAGATGGGTGGAAGTATAACGGTTTTGCAACAAATGCAAATGCTTCAGTTTGGTATCGCCCAAAAGCAGCAACGCGTCATCGTCAATGTTTTGTGGAGAAATCGTCAGAATCTGATTTATAATTATAAAAGAAAATTAGCGGAATAACACACGGATCCTTTGTTAAAACAGGAACTCTTAAAGACTCACCTGCAGATTGATAAAGAGCCCCACATGCATTATGGGACAATGTGTGGTTGTGACATTCACCAGATTCAGCACACGCATTTTCGTGCAGCACGCTTCTAGCACCTCGTCGAGCAAATGCTTCGCCTCGAAACGTTCCAACACGAAATCGATTAATTTTAATGTACGCAGATTACGTAAYTTGGACAAGAGCTCCTTGAGACCTTTGAGCAATTGGCCGCCAGTGCCGAACAATTTAATACCCTCTGGATCGTTGGCTTGCGACATATTGCAGGGAAATACATAGACGAGCGAACGTATGCGTGAGCCAACATTCTTSAGATCCTTTGGTGCTTTCACTTCTGAACCCTTTTTTTCGATATGAAAAATTTAAAATACCATTTAAATAAGTAACAAAAGAAATGTCGGTACCCACTTTGTCCATACTCCATGAAAGCATTGTCATAAATTGAAAGATATTATTGAAGCTATGCTCCGGTCTGAATTCTAAGCCGCGCAGATATTTTCCAACTCGCGATAGACAATTCTGCGTTCGTATGTGATCCAAACAATATTGCCAACCCGAGTAGTAGTTGTATTTGGCGCGAGTGAGTGTTCGATCGTCGACCAGAAAGTTACGCCACACCAGGGGCAGGTAGAAAGCGTTGTACCATTGCTTACACACCTGCAATCAATTAGAAAATTATATAATATATTCATAAATATATATKTGTAAAGAACTTTATATGTATATAAAGGGTGTCTCAGAATAATACAATTATTTGAAAATCTGTTTTCCCGAGCATTTTAAAATATGTGGAGTATAGGGGTTTATAGTGTTTATAAGACCACATGTCTTTTTCTTCTGTATTGGCTTAGACACCGCTTACGCGATTATAGTCGAGTTTACAAAACATTTATAATTTACAATGTTTGGCGCCAATTGGAGATTCCAAGTGTAGCCAGGTCTCCCTCCAATTGGTCTTTCCAAGTAACTGAATATGTTACTCTTCTTTTCCTTCCCACGGCGGGTACTGCGTCGAATACTTTCAGAGCTGGAATGTTTTCATATATTTAGACGGTATGACCTAGCCAGCGTAGGCACATTCTCTTAATTCGCTGAACTATGTCAATGTCGTGGTATATTTCATACAGCTCATTGTTGCATCGACTACGGTATTCACCATTGTTACTGTCTCTTATACACATCTAGATGTGTATAAGAGACAGGGTGAGCCAAGTCGCGAGTGCGCCGACTGTTTGTTTGATGATAGGGGATATTTCGTTTCGCCCTCGTTCACTAACAGACCGATTTGCTTCACTTATTTGTTCAACCTRGAGAGAGCAGAATCAACGGCGCGGTTGTTATGGCCAATGTCATCGCTGTACGCCAGCAGTTGTATACTCTTGTAGAAAATTGTATCTTCTCTATTGGGAAGTGCAGCTCGAATTTTTTTTTTCCGGAAGTATATTGAAGAAGTCGCATGATAGGGAGTCGCCTTGTCATTTTGTATCGAGTAGCTTGGACAAGTCTTTTCCGATCCTGATGGAACTTTTCGTATTGTTCGACGTTAGTTTACACAACCGTAATAGTTTAGCGGGGATACCAATTTCAGACATCGTGGCATAAAGCCAGCTCCTTTTCGTGCTGTCAAATCGACGAAAAGGTATTTTGTGTAATCCTCTGTTCACGGGTTTTTTCCAAACCTTGGATTGAGGCATGGTAAATATCTGGTGAGTTGTTGATTTTCCAGTCCTTAATCCACACTGATAAGATTCATTCAGTTCGTTGACGGTGAGCTTTCATTTTTCACATAACATGCTTAATATAATTGAGGATCATCGGTAATTACCAATCGTTTTCATCCGACCATATTCTACAAAGAAGCTGATACATACTCCTTATCTGTTCTTCTCCGCCGTAATTGAATAACTCGGTCGGCAATCCATTGACCGACGCCGCTTTGTCGATGCTTAGATGGGTAATTGCTATTCGAACTTCTTCAAGCTCGGAATGTCTGCTCCACCGCTATCGATTGGGGAATCRGGTTCACCATCTCCTGGTGTTAAGTTTTCACTGCCATTCAGGAGGCTGGAAGAGTATTCCCTTCTTAATTTCGGTATGCATCAGTCACTAGATCACGTCTGGGGGTTTTAAATGAATATGCTCCCTTCTTGAAGTCTTTCGTTAAACGCTAGATATATCCGTAGAATTTTCGAGCATTATTTTTCGTATTCATGCATTTCGGCCTCYCTCTTTTTTTCCGCAAATGCGTCTCGCTCCCTCTTCAACTTTCGGTCTCTTCATGGCTGCCAATTATTTTTAGACACCCTGTATTGTTATACTCACCAAGCTAGCGTAATAMCGTTCTCTGTAGGTTAAATATGAGAAGATTTCTTCCAACAGTATATCCGGTAAAGTATGCCATTCCGAATAGTTATTATCGTTTTCAGTTAGTTCCTCTTCTTCGGGTTCATCAATGTCTATATAGCAAGCTAAGAGCCAAAGATGATTGTTAATACTATATATTTATTATATAATTATAAGTACGGATTAAAAAAGCTGTAAACGTTAATGAAGATATTTAAAAATTATATTTCTTACTGGGAGCAAAGTTGCCACCTGCACCAAAATTTGGACTCAATAAAGCTTATAAAATTAACGAATTATTACAATATAAGTATGAAACTAATAGCAATTAAAAAATACTTGCAGTTCAAAATATTCTCAGCAGGGTCGMCAGATGTTTTTTTAATAGAATAAAAATCGTTTGAGAACTAGCAAATAGCAATTTATCTCAGTCAGTGCCATTATAAGGAACAGCAATAGACTGATACACACGAAAAGTCGGCTAGAGAGCTTGTGCAGAGATATACYATCTGATCATAAATTTGAYCCGGACTAACAAAAAACCTAAATTGTCAGGTATTTTAATAAAACAGATTCTAAATAAAATTAACTATTATAAAAAAGGTACATTCATGGAAATCTTTTTTRTAGCCTTACAAACTTGTTATAATATATGCTGGGATGATCCTCTGTACCTTCGGAACTCGAATTTTGGTTTAGTTTGTGTTTTTGATTTGAAGTCATATTTATAAACACACATCTCATCAACACTAATGATACCTTTGATGACTGTAGGGTTCTAAGCWAGGTAGWCAACCATTTCTGTTGCGWCCTCTACTCGACGTCGTTTTTGCAAACGATTCAGATGTTTTCGTACAAGCCCATCATTGTCATGCTTCATATCTAAAACATTAACCGAAATGTGTTGAGTATATTCATAAGAGATGTAGAGATCCCTGATTTTCTGATGTCAACTTGACCATTTTCCAATACTGTTTCTTATTGTTTTTCGAGACGGATGGACAACACGAATAAGGTAAGGGTCTCTCATGCACTAGTGCAAGACAACGATTGTAAGACTAATTCTGCTATACGGTACAGTAGTGTGATGAAATGATGGAGGCCAAAAAAAGGGTTCAAAAGCTCGTTGCGCTGTGCATATCCTGAGCTCTGGAAAATAATCCAACATCGCCTTTTGAACCAGTGCTATACACCTGTCGTCTATACACCTCTTGCCTGAAAACTGCGCGGAAAAATCGGCGGAGAGACAATTGGGTGCGACTATAATCAATTGGGAAAGAAGGTTCAGCGTAAACATAGAAAATTATATTAAAAATTGGTACGGTAGTTGGGGCGAGGGTATCCTGTTCAGAATTATGTTCCCCGTGGACAGGGGGTAGAATTTGCCCGCGATAAGGTACGCCTGTCATAAGAGCTGACTTTCTTTGGCTTGCCTTGAAATCCTGTCAATGAATTTCAATGAGATTTCTTCTAATGAAAAGACATTTKAAATTCAAACGACAAGTGTCACCTGTAATCGAGTTTGATGGGTGGTATCAAAAGTTACAAGATCTGTACGGAGACAACTCTAGTACCAGGGGAAGCAGTTAACMCTTGGAGTTCGCTCCAATCTGCTCTTTGACCCTGCACACACCACGGCAGAGGTTTTAGGTTGGCCTCGARCCCGACCAAGAGAGAAAAGGTGTCTCTTTGACTTGACCAATTACAATCAAATAGTACTTCCAAAAAGTTTGTATGACCAACGCATTGTTTTGATCTATGWGCTTTTAAGCACCGTGGGGTTAGGYTGTCGYCGACARGTTCCTATGTAAAAACACATCGACTGTTGTCTCGAGTTAATTCACTATAGGACAGAGTTTTAAACTGCCGCACAATCGCAGTATATTTATCATGTAAAGTTCTTTGCTATTGGAAAAACTGCAGAACTAGCAGTTTCCAATTCCGGAGTGAACAACCACCGGCAATCAAGGCTTGAAACTAGTTTCCCATACCTTACTTATACTGGGTGTTAGGTCACAAACACCTCCAGGGTTATGAGTTAGTGGACGAGGTTACCAAAAGTGGTGTCCGAAAACATTAACAAAATTAACAATATCCATGCATTGTCTTCACGATGATCTGGACAGCAGCATGGCTCCGATGGAAGTACTCAATAGTAGGGCGTGCTGGAGTAMTCACTGCTCATAGTCTGTCGGAGGCAGAATGGGACTGACAGACCGAGATGACTGCAGGAAATTCCAAGAGCAAGGCACCGCGGTAACAAGGGGCATAATTTGCGTATTGGCATTCTGAAGTATGAYTGCAACTCATGATCTATGGAACGGCACTCTATCTGGAATCGTAACGGACCAAAAATGGTCTAATATGCTGGTTCATTAAGCCACCAGATTAATCTAACTTAACCTTATAAAAAATAAAATCAAGAAATAGTATTTCGTTAAGCAATTTCTTCATTATTTTGTATACTGTGGTACAGTTGTACTTATAATTTAAATCAAAAATAGCTAGAAAAGTGCGCGTTCGAAAAGACAAGTGAAAATCAACAATAGAGAATATAATAACACAAAAAACATACATGGTTTTATGTATTATTTAAATACTCGTGTACAGACGAGTATATATGTCTATTAACTCATATACACATACATATGTACGCATGTACATGCATATATAGATTTCAAAATTTGGTTAAAGCTTTCCTCAAAATATTAATTGAATCAAAAATAATACACGAATTGCATATAAATATTTTTGATTTCTTCAAAATAGAGAAAATAAAAATAATATAAAAGAGATTTTTAAGAACTTAAATGGCGAAGTAGAAACTAATAATAATTTGTACATACATATATAATGTGTCAATATATGTATGAGTATATGGCTTGAGATATGCAGTGGCTCACAGAACTATTTTGCAAAGCTGCTTGCGCACACAAATGCCAAATGAATCAACTCAACTAAGGTACTGATGCGCAAAAATATTCCTCCGCAACTAATGATGACTCTATAWACAATTTTCGAGCTCATTGGAGAGTTAAGACAATAAAGTAGGTGGATACCTCTTTAGAGAAGATTTACACATGTTTCATTATTGCGCTTCAGCTTCCCGAATAMTACAGTAACTTCCAGGCGGAAGTGTAGGCGATCGGGAAAGCTATATCCGCTTTAGCAAACAACGCAATAATGAAGTTCAAGTTATACTTCGATAGCTAGATGGCAATTAAGAACGTAATCCCACATCGCTTTACTTCAGAGAATGTTTTCAGAAGCAGAGAGGCAGTAGATGTAGAGGCTGCCGGAAAGCGACTGCATATATACTGAGTTCCATGTGACAAAAGAAATGAAATAGCTGATGAGATCGCCAAATTGCCAAAAAAAAAAAAGSCCAGGAAATGTGAAAGTTACTGAAAACGATRKGCAATGAAATTTYCGAAAGGGTTGATTGATGGATCAGGTTGAGAAGGAACATCTTAATAACCTGCAGGATCGCTAAGATCAAGTGCAAGAACCTTAAAGTTAAATACTCATATTTTTTACTCACACGATCTCGAAATGTCTACAGGATGGTTGTGTGGCTCAATGACTGGTCTACTGGCATGGCATGCGAATTGCATAGCTTAAGTAATGACGATAGGTGCAGAAAGTGCAGGGAAGTATACAAGAGAAAGACGTTGGACTTCCTACACTATTGTCTAACAATCTATGTTTCTAGAAATCGTTTTAGATATCAGCAGTTCAAGAGACCGGAGGATGTATCAAATCGCTCTTAAAGTTCGCTAAAAGCATTGACGTCCTGTATGATGAGTACTTTAGTTCAAATTGGCAATACTATGGACCTGTTGGCGTGACAGCTGGTCAGTATAACTTAACCTAACCTTTGCTATTGTGAATGGCTCTTAATCGGTACTCTCTTACGCTTGGCGAATCGCAAGCAACAATTATAATGTTAATTTGCGGAGCATTTTCGTATGAAAAAAACTTTTTGAAGTCACTGTATTTAAATGGTAAAAGTGTTTGTAAATAATGGTGGCTTTAATATAAATATATTGTGAAAGAATGACAAATATGTACTGAAAATTCTGCTAGCAGTTTAGTGTGTTTCGACAACCAGCTGTCGAAGAATTTACTAATTCATTATTTTATCATAGTTTTTGTCTTCTTTTGTTTTTGCACCAATGTATTTGCTATCAAAGGGATAATAAATACCTTATAAACTGTGTCTACTTCTAGACCAGATTATCTAGGACTACTGTTTGCTACTCGAAAAAAAAATATTTTTTGACTGCGAAAGTTGAATATTTGAAGAACTTTCCATAACTAGTTACGAAAGATTTCACTTATTTCTTGACGGGTGCTAGGATGGGTCTTAATGCATATGTATATACTGGTGTGGGTATATAAAATAAATTTTTTTTGCGTTCAGTTCGATATAGTGCGTCTGGAAATAATACTAGGAAATATTAGTATTCTAGAATTAAAGTATATATATAATTGACTGTGACATTTGAATATTTGAAGAAATTTTCATAAATTGTTATCAAAGAATTAGGGTCAAAATGGAGCCACCATTTTATAAATATATTATTTGAAGAACTTTCCTTAACCTGTTAACGAAAATTTGACCTATTTCTAGACGTAAAAATTAGGTTCAAAATGGAGCCATCCTAATGCTTATATATTAGGGCGGAAGAAAAAAAAACAATTTTTTTTCGTTTTTTACTCTGAAAATTATGTTCTTAGTCATTTCTAAGGAAGTCTCTCCAAGTATGAATTCTATGAATATCTTGTTTCATATATTTATGGACCCTGAATACTCTACAACACGCCGTAAGTTCTGCTTTCTCCAGACTGGACGAGGAAGCAAAGYAGATGGGTCTGGTAGTGAACGAGGGCRAGACGAAATATCTCCTGTCATCAAACAAGCAATCGTCGCACTCGYGATTAAGCTCCCAAGTCACTGTTGACAGTCATAACTTTGAAGTCGTAGATAATTTCGTCTATCTTGTAACTARCGTAAACACCACCAACAGTGCCAGCCTGGAAATTCAACGCAGGATAACTCTTGCCAACAGGTGCTACTTCGAACTGAGTAGGCAATTGAAAAGCAAAGTATCGAGAGAGAACTCAACAAAAACCAAACTCTATAAGTCACTCATAATTCCCGTTGCATCACATTCGATGGAACGATGAGCTGTATGAGATATATGACGACATTGACAAAGTTCAGCGAATTAAAAGACAGCGGCTACACTGGCTAGGTCAGGTTGTCCAAATGAACGAAAACACTCCAGCTCTGAAAGTATTTGACGCTGTAACCGCCGGGGGAAGCAGAGAAAGAGGAAGACCTACACTCCGTTGGAAGGACCAGGTGGAGAAGGACTTGGCTACGCTTGGAATATAATCGCGTAAGCGGTGTCTACGCCAACTAAGAAGAAGAAGAATGAAAAAAGATGTATTTAAAATTTTCAGGAAACCTAACCTAACCTAAATATATTAAAGTTTAAAGTTTGAAGGCAACTTCTTATGAATTCTAAAATTGACAGAAGAAAACCAATATAAATCCGAAAACCCATTTATTTTGCTGCTCTATTTTGCATTTTTTTATCTGATAATAGGAAAAAATAGAAAACTGTAATACGGACGGAACCTTTCAGCTTCAGTTAAGAGCTGATACTTCGAGAGACTTTCTTAGAGCTGCCCAAGAAACTATTTTCTGCGTAACAGACGGAAAAAATTTTCATATTTTTTATACCCACCCTAATATCTATATTCCAGAGCACCAACCGCAAAAAATATTTTTGTTTTACCCTCCTTAATACCTATTTATATTCCAGAGGACTAACAGAAAAAAAATACATTTTAATATTTATATACCAGATTAAAAAGGAATAAAAAAAAATCGTTTTTTTGGCCCACCCTAATATCTATATTCGTACTTAATTCTACCGCTATACCGTCTTACCCTCATCGTTTTGATCGATTTTCCAACCGGCTTTTTGCATTGCCTCTCGGCGTCGGGATATCGTAAGTGCGGCCATTTTGCAGGCCCCACACTARAACTTATTTCTAGTATACGCAATACTTTTTTGTTTTCTTTTGTAATAATTTTTTTTGTTTTGGGGTTTTCAAAATCTTATTTGAAGCACATCACCAAAGTAGCAAAATGAGCAAAAGTAGTCCAGCAAAACTCCAACACGTACACATTGAGTAAGCTAATGGTAAATCGYAAGTTGCGCATAAAAGTAAAATTTCACTTGTCTGACCCACTTTTTTAGAAAAATATTGAAAATGTGTGAAAAAAGAAATTACACAATTTGGTCGTCTTCAAATAGTTTTYCCTATTACCAAACAGATTCGCGACGCATTTTCGACTAGAACAACGGTTGCGAAGCAAGAGCCGATGGCGCAGGTACACGAGTGCCAGTGCGCGCGATTTGTACTTTCGAAATGTAGCAAATTTTTGAAATTTCTATTTTCTAGTTTTCGTTCAGCGACACAGTTGTGGTTGCAAACACGCACACACACATACAAATGCTTATGTTTGCGGAAAATAGAATCGAATTAAATAACAAAAAAGAATTATTTAATCGTTACGTTCGCTATTTATTTTTAAAAAGCAGCAGCCAACAAAAAAAAAATATTATTTAATCTTCGTGTTTTCTTTCGACGTTTCACATTTTTATTTTTGTTTGTGTTCAAATTTTGGCTTGCGTTTTTTTATTGAGGCTTATTCGTAAACGTCCGTTGCAAGCAACCAGTGACATATTTCACTTTTTGAAAAACGACGCACGAGTGCTTGCCGATTGYACGGACCATTACCGGTGATTCGAAAACGTCTGATTGCTGCTCGGCACTTTTATTTTTTATTTATTTTTCCATTTTTTAGTTGTTTTAGCTCGTCGCTTATGCTCGCTGTTTCTAAACACTATTTTKATAGCAGATTTTTTGTATATTTTCCTTTATATATACATATGTATGTTTGTATGTATCAACAGCAGCAGAAAAGTTCTAACACATCTGATGTATCGCATTTTCCTTTGCATATCCACGGTTTTGTTTTGCTTTGCGGTTTTTGGTTTTCACGTGTCGTTTCATCCGTAATTTAAATCGGCAAATTATTTTATTTACAWATGTATGTATGTATGTATGTAAATACAGATTACCGTAGAAAAATAGGAAATTTGAAGTGACGGAGAGTCTTGTGMGTGCTGCGAGCCCCCTTTTGGGATAATATTATCCACCACAGATGTTGAGTAGTTTGATTGTTGTCAAAGAAAATATTTATCAAATGTTTATGTAAAGCATGATCCATTTCGAGGTGGCTTAATTTTTGAAAAAAAAAAAAACACAGAAACTTCAAGTTTAATGAGTAATATTTATTATCATTTGAAAGCACATTCTTCGTCATTTATTTTTCGAAGATTAGCTCTTTCAAATGTTGGCCACGAATACGACACATATGGTCCAACCATCGAGTCAATTTTCAATGATTCTTTCGATCATTTTGATTGGCAACTAACGAATGACACACGTGATGTTTTGCTCCAAGGTCTGAATCGAAGCGGGATTGTGCGTATAGACTTTAGACTTTACATATCCCCATAATAAACAGGTCTAACCTTGTGACATCACACGATCTTGTTGTCTAATCGATCGACATAAAACGTGAAATTATCTGCTCACCAAATGCCGCCAAGATCACGAGCTTCAATTTTAGGCATCAAATAATCGGTTATGATGTCGCGATAACGGTCGTCGTTGACGGTTACATTCTCACTGTCATCATTTTTGAAAAAATATGGAATGATGACTCCACCAACATACAAACCACACCAAAACGTTCTTTTTTCAGGATGAAATAGCAGCTTTTGAATCTCTTCAGGTTGCTCTTCGTCCCAAATGCGGAAATTTTGATTGTTTACATATCCATTGACCCAGAAATRGGTCTCAYCGCTGAGCAAAATTTGGTTCGAAAACGTYGGATCTTCTTGGAACACTTCAAGATGAAGCGATGTCGCTTGGCTGGGTCAAGCGGTGTCAGTTCTCGCAAAAGCTGTATTTTGTACGCCTTCAATTTAAGATCTCGAYGCTAAATGCGCCAAGTTGTTTCATACGTCGGTCCGACTACCTGCGMATGGCGCCGAATAGGTCTTCGTATACACACTCAGTTACGACTGCTATATTTTTTGGCTTCGTACTGGACATGGTCTATTCGGACGAATATTATCCAATAATGAACGCTGGCTATTAAAAAAGTACCTCTAATTGGAACACCCGTTGTAAGTATGTTTATATTTTTGTATATACATATTTATATAAACAGCAATTTGTTTATTCAAATGATCTGTTTTGATATGAATGTAAGCAGTTCTGAGATAAGTTAGGCACGCGACTAATTATGCAAATATGAATTATAAATAATATCGTTGACTTCGGTTTGTTTTGGTTTTAAGGGGCGTTCTTCCTAAGCAGCTTTGTTTACAAATAGATATAAATGTGGTTTGATATGTAAGGAAACTTGTTAATTTTATATTTTATKCGTCAAATATTAAAGAGCAGCGAATCGAACAAACAACAACAGCCGTTCTAATAGACTGTCGCTATTGTGAGTTGTGAGTCTTTCAGTGTTGGAGGAATTTATTTTTCCATGCTAAATAATATTTTAGTAACACTTGACTTCGAATACTGTTCATATCTTCGATTTTCTATAAAAATTATATTARTTTCGTAATAGGATTTTTTATTGTGCGAAAAATTTTATGTATCATATTTTTATTCTCCATTTTGATCTAATACCTTTTGTCATCTTTCGGGCAAGATGTGTTTCTTGAGTATTGATTAGAYCTGAAGTTCTTCTTCTTCTTAATTGTCGTAGACACCGCTTATGCGATTATAGCCGAGTTAACAACAGGACCTGAAGTTCCTGTCATCCAAAAGTATTTGTAAAAACCGGAACAAGTAATAGTGTTAAGGTACCTAGTCCGGAGAATATGATGGATGTGGTAGCTCATCTCATTCAAGCTGCAAAAATTTTGGCTACCTTGTATGAGTTCGGCAATTATACTGGTGGAACACTACATCTTTTCCATTGAACAATACTGGCTTCTTCTGTTTGATTGTATAACTAAATATGTTTAGCTGATCTCAAAAAGCTTCAGAATTTATCGCAGTATTGTCGGATGAAAGCACAAACAATCCCTTTGGAATCCCTTCGGCCTTCGAAGAGGTTTGAGCTCGTTCATTCACTTTAGATCATGATTACTTGCGCTTTATATTCTTGTAAACAAAACATTTTTCGTCGTCAGTAAGAATGCGCTTCAAAACTGGATTACTTCTTTGGCATTTCATAAGCAAAACTTGCTTTAGAAATTTCGAATTTCTTCAGAGTCTTTTTATCAGCCAGTTTGTAGACGAGGAAACTGCAACTCAAAGTTGTAAAAATTAAACAAATTAGCGCTTAACATCAAGTACATATATTTTTTAGCCGAAATCATTCCAGCAATAGCAAATGCGCTTGGCACAGTGCCCTGAACTGGATTGAGGGTATTTTTAGAACTCCCAAAGAAAACTAATTTTCTAATAATATCAGTGCCTGCAGACAAAGAAGATGCTACCAAGTACGTACATTTATTTATTTATTTATTTATGTATACATACATACATGCATGTACTTGTATGCGCTGTTATTTATAG